TCTTGAGATTAAGTAAACACTTTTGTATATTTCACAGTATTTGATAGAAAAACAAAAACATAAGTGGAAAAAATGAAGTGTTCTTAGAGCTCCAGATCTCCACAATTCCCCACATCCTAGGGAGGGAAGCAAGTGCTAGAGAAGTAGTAAGCACAAACTTGTCCTTACGTGGATATGTAACAGAAAATTTAGTAAACTGTATCTGAAGAATGGAGCAGCAAGTATGTGTATGTATGGTGTGAAAGCCCTAAATCCTTATCTTTGTTGAGAAGTCAACAGATAATGCCTAAAGTTAGAAAAATCTAGAAACAATATAAGCATGTAATTTAGAGATATGATAGTGAATGACAACATAAGCAGTTAAAAGAGTTGAAAATAGTTGTTTCTAGGAGTGGGAAATCAGGTCACAAAGTGGGAACTATGTGATTCCTTTCGCCAGGTACGTACGCTTAATGTACTAAATTTAAAAGAGGAAAATGAACAAATGGATGAGCTAAACCATAGATTATATCATTGAGGATAGAATTAAGGCTTCTGGCAATATTTTTGTTCACACGAACACAGCAATACTATCCAAATGGATTCTGCATGTCTCCTTAACTTTCTTTTGCTGTATAATAACAATATTAATATCAAGTTAATGGCAAAAGTCAGACCAGGGTACTATGAAAAAGGAGCAGAGATCAAGGAAGTTATTTAAATAAAAATATTAGTGTTGGAAAAAATCTGTATCAGGACTGATGGACTGAACCTAGATAAGGAACAAATTAATGAACTGGTACATAAAGGCAAAGAAATGGTTCAGAATGGAAAGCACAAAGATGGAAATGGAAAATACGCAGGTAAAGTTAAAAGACATAGAAAATCAATCTATAAGGGCCAATGTTCACCTAATACCTACATTCCAGAAAGAAGTAAACAGAAAATGGAGAGGAAAAATTATTTGAAACTATTTTTACAGCTAGGAATGACACATGTCCAAATTTCAAGATGGTGCTGAATCACAACAAAAACTTAAAAAGCCATAGATAAATCCTCATGAAATTTCAGAACTTTAAAGAAACTAAGAAAAATCTGAAAAACTTCAAAAGATAAAAAAACAGGTTTCTTGCAAAGGAATAAGTATCAGATTGGCAGCAAGATTCTCTTAAACTATATTAGATATTAGAGGGCAATGGAGGAATGCTTCCAAAAGTTCTATGAGGAAAGAAATATATGCAGAAATGCAGGATCCAATATATAGTAAGACTCATTCATCCAGAAGCACAATAAAAAGAAATTCCAGAATGATCATTCAGCTGTGCGTTAGATATAAGGACAATTGATCAAAATTAGAACAGGAAATTAGAATGTTCTGTGAAAAATTTACTCAAGAAGGCATATGCCTCTTTTGGTATTAAGAAGTAATTTATTGAGGTAGGAGGATCTAACGCAAGTCAAAGTCTTAGTTAGCCAATTAATTTTTTTTTTTTTTTTTTTGAGTCGGAGTGTTGCCTGGGTTAGATCGCTCAAGGTCAGAAGTTCGAAACTAGCCTGAGTGAGACCCCGTCTCTACTAAAAATAGAGAAATTAACTGACCAATTAAAAATATATATACAAAAAATTAGCCAGGCATGGTGGCGCATGCCTGTAGTCCCAGCTACTCGGGAGGCTGAGGCAGAAGGATTGCTTGAGCCCAGGAGTTTAAGGTTGCTGTGAGCTAGGCAGATGCCATGGCAGGCACTCTAGCCTGAGCAACAGAGCAAGACTTTGTCTCCAAAAAATAAATAAATAAGAAGTAATTTATCAAACCAACATTGAGTACTTAAGATATACTAGGCACTGTGTTAAATCTTTTATGTGCTCACAAAATTATTTAATGCTCACAAGGATCCCAAAGGTAGGTAATATTAGTAACCCCATTTTACATATAAGTAACCTGAGTCTTAAGCAACTTGCCCAATATAACTAGCTAGTGATAGAGCTGAGATTTAAGGAACCATAAACCCTGGAGTAGGAATTCTACCCAGAGTGACAGAGTGAGACCCTGTCTCAAACACACACACAGAAAATAAGTGTTTGAGGATGTGGAGAAATTGGAACCCTTGCGCACTATTGGTGAGAATATGAAGTGGTGCAGCAATAGTATGGAGATTCCTAAAAAACAGATCGGGTGTGGTGGCTTGCACCCGTAATCCTAGCACTTTGGGAGGCTGACGTCGGAGGATCGTTTGAGGCCAGGGGTTCCAGACCAGCCTGAGCAACCTACAACACTCTGTCTCCACAAAAAATAGAAAACCCAGCTGGGCATGGTGGTGCATACCTGTAGTCCCAGCTACTCGGGAGGCTGAGGCAGGAGGATCACTTCAGCCCAGAAGTTTGAGGTTGCTGTGAGCTAGGCTGATGCCACGGCACTTTTGCCCAGACAACAGAGTGAAACTCTGTCTCCAAAAAAAAAAAAAAAAAAAAATGCTACTGTACAGTTAAAAAATGGTTAAAATGGTAAGTTTTGTTTTGTGTTTACCACACACACACAAAACCCAGGAAACCAAATTGTTATTTTGAAAAGTATTAAATAAGGGAGAGAATCAAGCACCTATCCTGCCTTTCATATATGAATTGTATCTCAGGAACCAACTATGTGAGGGGTGGTTTCTCTTTACAGGAGAATTGTAGTTAAGGAATGAAGAATGAATAAAATTATTTAGGCAATGTTCTTCAATGGTGGCTAATATCACAAAGAGTGAACCAAGCAGCCACCGTGTGCTTCCTGATGGAAAGATACCATCACCTGTAAAGTATCTTTTTTTTTTTTTTTTTTTTTTTGAGACAGAGTCTCGCTTTGTTGTCCAGGCTAGAGTGAGTGCCGTGGCGTCAGCCTAGCTCACAGCAACCTCAAACTCCTGGGCTCAAGTGATCCTTCTGCCTCAGCCTCCCGAGGAGTAGCTGGGACTACAGGCATGCGCCACCATGCCCGGCTAATTTTTTTTATATATATATATCAGTTGGCCAATTAATTTCTTTCTATTTATAGTAGAGACGGGGTCTCCCTCTTGCTCAGGCTGGTTTTGAACTCCTGACCTTGAGCAATCCGCCCGCCTCGGCCTCCCAAGAGCTAGGATTACAGGCGTGAGCCACAGCGCCCGGCCAACCTGTAAAGTATCTTAACAAAAATGAACCCAAATCTATTCAAACATCTAGGTTTAAGAATTAATAAATATACCAGAAATAGAGGGGACAGAGCAACACCTACACTCAATCACCAAAATCTAAACAGTGGAAAATTATAGGAGAAACAGCCAGATTCTTCAGCAAACAAATAGGAAGGCCAAGAAAACAAGGGGGCTATAGATTAAAAGAAATTTAAAAGATCATTTACCAGTTAAAACATATAGACCTTATTTGGACAAACTTAAAAAAAATTACAGGAAAACTGGGGAAATTTGAACTCTACTTGGTAGATATTTGATAATATTAAGGAATTATTGTTAACTTTTTGAGGTTGAGATAATGGTAAATGTGGTTATGTTTTTAGAACAGTTATTATATATTAAAATATATGTATGCATATATAGTAAATATATTGAAATATATTATGGAATATATTATTCAATATATATTAATTATATTGAAATATTTCAGGTAGAATTTTTTTTAAATGGAAAATAAAGTACAGGAAAGTCATACTTAAACATAAATTCTAATGTGGCATGATTTTTAGCAATTGATAGAGTCTAAGAAAATTTGATCCTGATATTTGTAAGTTTCTCTTTTGGCATTGAAGATTTACTAACATAAAATTACCTTCTTTCTGAGGGTCCAGTCACATTACTTGGTTCTTTCCAGAAATAATATTGTGTTTCAATTTCTAAAGCTGTCTTATAGACAATTGTGAAAGCTTGTAGTTACAGAACAGAATGTAAATCTTATAAATCTTGACATTTTAAAGAAATGATATGGTAGACCAGAGTCTGAAAGAGCAAAGGATGAGAAGAGATGAAGGAGATGATCCTATGCTAAATTTTTCATTTCATATTGGGAACCAGGTTTTAGGCTATATTGTTTAGATACCTGCTAGGAAATTAGAAACAATATTTACTGAATTCCCTTCTTTTACTATTTACAATTTTCAAATTTCATGCAAGTATTACTTTCTAATAAATTGTATAAAATGTTTAAATTTTGAATTTTAACCTGGCAACTAAAACATCAAATCTAAGAAAGCAGATACTTAGTTTTATACTTTTTGTTTTTTGTTTTTGAGACAAGAGTCTCACTTTGTTGCCCAGGCTAGAGTGCCATGGCGTCAGCCTAGCTCACGGCAACCTCAAACTCCTGGGCTCAAGCGATCCTTCTGCCTCAGCGTCCTAAGTAGCTGGGACTACAGGCATGTGCCACCATGCCCGGCTAAATTTTTTTTCTATACATTTTTAGTTGTCCAAGTAATTTCTTTCTATTTTTAGTAGAGACGGGGGTCTTGCTCTTGCTCAGGCTGGTCTCGAACTCCTGAGCTCAAACGATCCACCCGCCTTGGCCTTCCAGAGTGCTAGGATTACAAGCGTGAGCCACCGCGCCCCGCCTAGTCTTATACTTTTTTATTGCTTCTCCCCACTCCCCAATCCGCAACGCTAGTATATGTACTCAATATCATATTACTCGACATCAAACGTGCAATCTTTTATATGCAGTCAATATCAAATTCCTTAATGGTATCCTGTTTGTAAAAAACCTTGGCGCTGGAAAGGTTCTTCGGAATAATCTGAGCCAATTATTTTTAGACGAGGAAACTGAAGTTCCCAAAGGAGGAACCCCCGTCTTGGGAAGGCTTGTCTAGGTGAAGGTTCCACCATGTGCCTGCCTTCTAGATGCAACATCTGAAAACTCTAACTGTCGCTTCGTTAGGAAACCTACAGCGCCGCCTACTTTGGAAGCCAGAACACTAGCACACCCGCCAGCTCCAGTGCTGCGCACGCGCAGAGCTACCTCCGCGTCAGGCGCGCGGGAGCTTTCTGCGGCCGGCTCCCTGCGATTGAGAAGCGGCTTCCGCCCGGTGGGCTTTGTACGGCGCACCCGGGAGGCGGGACCTCCGGGACAAGATGGAGTTACTGGAGGTACTGAAGCGCGGGCTGCAGCAGGTCAGCGGTCACGGCGGCCTCCGCGGCTATCTACGAGTTTTATTCAGGTAGGCGGCCAGCGCCATGCTGTTGGCCTGTGGGGTTATACTTGCGCTCGCTGATTTCTTGGAAAGGGGCCCCGGCTTGGATCACCTTGGAGAATTCGGGGCTCTTGTCAAGGACAACCGGCCCAGTCTCTCCCTCGCAACCCCGGGGCCGAAGTCTCTGTCCGGGATCTCCCCGAGACAGGACCGAAGCCGAGAGTCAGAGCTGTGACACGGAGGCTAGGGTATCCGGGCTGCACCCTTACCCCGCGCCCTAGAGAGTAATAATCATTACAGAACAGTAACTCAGTGACCTTGGGAAAGTTTTATTCCCTGCACTAACCTTTAGTTCCCCTGTATATTTAGTAAGGCATTGAAGGAGGTCATCTTAATGGTCCCTACTAGTCCTGACATTCATTGATCCCAGGAGCAGTATCGTCCGCGGAAACCGAGATGGAGACCTAGGACAGAATGAAGAATGAGGAAACATCGTATCACTTTAAGAAAATGAAATAATTTAGCTTCCTGATTGCCTGAAGGTTTTGCTAATTTCAGTGCCTCTTGGCTCAGGAATAGTAGATAAAAGTAGTCCTGTAATTTGAAGATACTGCATTTGTACTTTCAGTGTAATTTAGGTACATCAGTTGCGTCAATTTGTCTTTTCTCATTTTGTTTGTTTAATACTGGAGGCTGCATGAACAGGGATTCTGGAGCTCTTAACCTAAAAGGTGATTATTCAACATTGGGTAGTGAGAGCCTGGAGATGAAGGCTGAATGTATACAACCTGTAACCATCCCCAGCAGCTCCACATTTTTCAAGTTGTTACAGCAGCCTTTGTAACTGAAAGTTGGTATTCTCACTTTATTTCTGTTTGTGTTTTGAACAAAGAATCATTCTAAAATGTCTGTTTTCTTCTGGGCATTCACAGGGCAAATGATGTGAGGGTTGGTACATTAGTAGGGGAAGACAAATATGGAAACAAATACTATGAAGACAACAAGCAATTTTTTGGTGAGTGCGGTATTTTTTGATGTGAATAATGGGATTGAGATTTGATTTGACTCTATTTTCTATATTACACAGAACTGAGTTTCTACAAAGCACTTGAAAGGATGAAAAACTCAATAGAAAAATAAAAGACAGTTGACAGAAAAAGATAACTAAATAGCCAACAAAGGCATGGAAAAAACCCATCCTCACTTGTAATTAGAGAAATGCAACTTAAAAAACAATGTTATCTTTTTTTCGCCTATCAAATTTTAAAGTAGTTTTCAATCTGATAAATCCCAGTGTGGGGAAAGGCATAGGAATATATAGGTTAATGAAGTCTTTTTGAAGGACTTTTTGGGAATTGTCAAAATTTACATTGCACATATCCTGTATCTCAGCACTTTCACTCTAAGAATTCATTCTACAAATGTTCTTGCAAAACAAAGACACCCATCACAACATTGTTTTAGTAGTAAATTCTAAAAGCAACATTAACATGCATAAGTTGGATAATGATGAATTACACATTTTTAGTATAATGCATTGCTGTTGCAAATTAGATAAACCTACAAATTTAATACAGATGTTAAACGTGTGTGTAATATAAAAAACTCCAGGTGCAGAACAATGTTTGATATCTTCAAAGGGAGAAAATATATGCTTTTCTTGGAAGGAAACATAAAAAACAGAAGTAACATGAGATGGTAGGGGTTTAACTTTCTGTCCCTTCACTTAATAACTTTGTGACCTGGTTAACTTAATTAACTTCTGTAAGCCTCAGTTTTCTCATCTGTAAAGTAGAATAATAATGATATATGCCTCATAAAAGGCCAGGTGTGGTGGCTCACACCTGTAATCCTAACAATTTTGGAGGCTGAGGCAGGCAGATCACTCAAGGTCAGGAGTTTGAAACCAGCCTGAGTAAGAGTGAGACCCTGTCTTGACTAAAAAAATAGAAAGAAATTAATTGGCCAACTAAAAATATATAGAAAAAATTAGCTGGGCATGGTGGTGCAAGCCTGTAGTCCCAGCTACCGGGAGGCTGAGGCAGTAGGATTGCTTGAGCCCAGGAGTTTGAGGTTGCTGTGAGCTAGGCTGACACCACGGCACTCTAGCCCGGGCAACAGAGTGAGACTCTGACTCAAAAATAATAATAATAATAATGATATATGCCTCATAAAGTTGTATTAAAAAATAGATGAAAAGTGAATGGGAGTAACTTATCCCAGTGTAGGGTTTCTCAACCTCAGCACTATTAACACTGTGGGCCAGATAATTTCTTGTTGTAAGGGGCTATCCTGTGCGTTGCAGAATGATGAGCAGTGTCCCTGGCATCTATCCATTAGATGCCAATAGCACCTACCCTCTGCAGTTACGACAACCAAAAATGTCTCCAGACATTGCAAAATTGCCCTTGTTGGGAACCACTGGTCTAATGCTTGGCACATAATAAGTGCTTAATAAATATTAGCACTATTACTGGTATTATTATTGGTATAGGTTGAGTATACCTTATCTGAAATGCTTGGGACCATAAGCGTTTTGGATTTTGCATTGTTTTCAGATTTTGGAATATTGACATTATTCTTTCTGGTTGAGCATCCCTACTACAAAATCCAAAATGTTCCAGTGAGTATTTATTTCTTTCGAGCATCATGTCAGCACTCGAAAAGTTTTGGAGCCTTTCAGATTTTGGATTTTCGCATTAGGGATACTCAACCCGTACCTTCTCGAATTGTTGAAATTTTTTCCCGTGTGCATTTGTTACTTTTACAATAATAAAAAAATTTCCCTTGTTTGAGATGAAAAGTATCAAAGAGTAAAAATCAATTAGTCTTCATCCAGGGGAACAACAATGTGAAATAAAACTGGCTTAGCATTTATTTGTGTGCTTATCATGTGCTAGATGCTGTGCTAAACAAATAATATACATTATGTTATTTAATCTTCAACATCTCCTTGAAGTAGATACTTTATTCCTCCCTCCCCCCATTTTACAGATGAAGACACTAAGTCATTGAGCAGTTAGGAATATTTCTTAGGACTGTATTAACTGTGTAGTTGCATTGGAAGCACGTTTGTTTACAAGATGTAAACAACATCTTATGTACTTCATAACCATAATATTTTTAATACACAAATTATAGAATTTTAGACCTGGAATAGATTTTAAGAGATTATCTAAAAAACTGTTGTTTTATAGATGAAGAAACTGGGGCCCAAGGAATTGTCTTAACCAGAGGGACTTAGTGAAATAACACAAGTAATTAGTGGCAGAGCCACCTGAAGCAATATTTTTTCTACCCATCCCTTTATTGTTATAAACTGTAACACTAAATTCCTTCCTTTCTTCTTCTTTCCTCACATTGGAAATAACTTTATTTTTACTAATTTAAAAAATTAAATGTGCTGTTGTAAAACATTAAAATTTAGCATATGAAGTAAAAATTAAAACTCCCTCCCCTTGTAATTTTACAACTTTTTACAACTTTTTCAGTAGTTTAGCCTGTATATACATTTAAGATTCTTTTTTTTTTTTTGAAACAGAGTCTCACTCTCTTGCCTGGGCTAGAGTGCTATGGGGTCAGCCTAGCTTACAGCAACCTCAAATTCCTGGGCTCAAGCAATCCTCCTGCCTCAGTCTCCCAAGTAGCTGGGACTACAGGCTTGCGCCACCATGCCCGGCTAATTTTTTCTATATATTTTTAGTTGTCCAGCTAATTTCTTTCTGTTTTTTAGTAGAGACGGTCTCGCTCTTGCTCAGGCTGGTCTTGAACTCCTGAGCTCAAATGATCCACCCATCTTGGCCTCCCAGAGTGCTAGGATTACAGGTGTGAGCCACCACACCCAGCCATATTTAAGATTTTTTAATGAATATGTAAACCTATATATACATTTCACCCTTAAACAACATAGGTTTGAAATGCAGGTCCACTTATATGAGGATTTTTTTCGACCAAATATGGATCAAAAATGCAGTATTCCCAGATGTGAATCACATGTATTGTGGAAGGCCGACTCTTCCTATAGGCAAGTTCCATGGAGCTAACTGTGGCTCTTGAACATGTGCAGATATTGCTATACTTGGAGGGGCAGGGTCCTGGAACCAGTCTCCCAAGTATACTGAGAAAAGACTGTACTTTTCTTTCTTTTTTTTTTTTTTTTTTGAGACAGAGTCTCGCTTTGCTGCCCAGGCTAGAGTGAGTGCCCTGGCGTCAGCCTAGCTCACAGCAACCTCAAACTCCTGGGTCAAGTGATCCTACTGCCTCAGCCTCCCGAGTAGCTGGGACTACAGGCATGCGCCACCATGCCCAGCTCATTTTTTCTATATATATTAGTTGGCCAATTAATTTCTTTGTATTTATAGTAGAGACAGGGTCTTGCTCTTGCTCAGGCTGGTTTTGAACTCCTGACCTTGAGCAATCTGCCCACTTCGGCCTCCCAGAGTGCTAGGATTACAGGCGTGAGCCACCGCTCCTGGCCCTACTTTTCTTTTTAATTCATGAGATTATGTTATGCATGTTTGTGCCTTTACCTTTTTTTTTTTTTTTGAGGCACGGCCTTGCTTTGTGGTCCAGGCTAGAGTGCAGTGGCATTGTCATAGTTCGCTGCAACCTCAGACTCCTTGGTTCAAGTGATACTCCTACCACATCCTCCTGGGTCGCTGAGACTACAGGCACACGGCACCATGCCTGGATAATTTTTCTATTTTTTGTAGAGACAGGGTCTCACTGCGTTGCCCAGCAGGTCTCGATCTGACCTCAAGTGATTCTCTCGCCTGGATCTCCTAAAATGCTAGGATTACAGGTGTAAGCCACTGTGCCCGCCTGTTATTCATGTTAGTAAACTGAAGTATCTTTACTTTAAAAATACGGGTCATTTTTCCCTTTTAGTAAGCTAGATGTATCTATAGCATTCTTGTTTTGCTTGGAGATCTGGTGTTTTTTAATTAAAAATTTCACAGCATTCTTTTTGATAGCAACCAATATTCCACTGGCAGAAGAACCATTATTTTTTCAAACATTTCACTATTAACAGACATTTAGCTTGCTTTTGGCTTTTTGCTATTAAAAATAATGTTGTAGGAAACTTACTCATAACTACAATTTCATTTATTTAAATATTCTAAGGATAAATTTCTAGAAATAGAATTGCTGACTCTGAGTATGAACATTTAATATTTTGAGAGATATATTACATCCACACACTTACTGGAGCTTGCCTTCACTATTGCACCCAGAGTGTTATTCCTCTAAAATTTCTCTTATATAAGAGCACATAAAAGTCTTTTATTAACATAAAGGTTATCTTCTTTGATATTATGCATTTATACTTTTTAAAAAAAGGTTTTCTTTATTTCTTCACATCTTTCTAAATGTTGATCTTTCTACTCAGGCCGTCACCGGTGGGTTATATATACTACTGAAATGAATGGCAAAAACACATTCTGGGACGTGGATGGAAGCATGGTGCCTCCTGAATGGTAAGCCAAGTTAAGATTTTATTTTATTTGACTTGGCAATATTTGCTTTATTACACAAATATTTATTGGATATATATTTATAAGATAGGAGTATTCTTCTCAAAGCATCTGTCCCCGTTACAATGGCTGCACAATAAGTTACCCTAAAACTTAGTGGCGTAAGACAATCATTTATCTCACATAGTTTTTTTGGGTCAGGAGTTCAGATAAGACAAAGCAGGATGGCTTATTTTTGCTCCTGGATGTTTGGGGCCTCAGCTGGAAGACTCAAAGGCTGGACACTGGAATCATTTGAAGATTTTTTTCACTTAGTATCTGGCAGTTGATGCTGGCTGTCAGATGGGGACAGAGCTGGGACTGTGAGTTGGAATACTTTCATGTTGCCTGGGCTTCCTCATGTGTTTTGAGAGAGAGAGAGCCAGGTAGAAGCCATATTGCTTATCTGTCTTAGTCTTGGAAATCATCCAGTGTCACTTCCATATTCCGTTGGTTGAGGCAATTAGAAAGCTCTACCCAAGTTGAACATGAGAAAACATAGACCCTATCTCTTGATGGAGGTATGTCAACATTGGATATGTAACGTTGTGACTGTCTTTAGGAGGAAATAGTATGCCACAGTATCACCTGTCTGAGTAAAGGGAAAGGCAAAAGGAACTTTGGCTCTTATCTCGTAGTTTGACTTCAAGCAAGTTGTTTAATTTCTTAGGGCTTATATTCCTCATCTATAAAATGAAAGTCCTAAAATTTGTTAGGTCTCTAAAAACTCCATAATATGAATATTTAAAAATGAAATTCTAAATGCTCTTACTTGAATTACCAAATTTTGTATGAACTATTTCACACCAGATATCTTATATCTGTTTCATAGATTGCTGAAATAATACCATGTAGTTGATATATAGATAAACTCTGGAGATCCTTTCCTGTTGGTTTAGAAAATTTCACGAAAAAAACTAGAAATAGCCCGGGCGTGGTGGTTCACGCCTGTAATCCTAGCACTCTGGTAGGCCGAGGCCAGTGGATCGCTCAAGGTCTGGAGTTCAAAACCAGCCTGAGCAAGAGTGAGACTCCATCTCTACTAAAAATAGAAAGAAGTTAATTGGCCAGCTAAAAATATAGAGAAAAAATTAGCCAGGCATGGTGGCGCATGCCTATAGTCCCAGCTACTCAGGAGGCTGAGGCAGAAGGATCGCTTGAGCCCAGGAGTTTGAGGTTGCTGTGAGCTAGGCTGATGCCACAGCACTCTTGCCTGGGCAACAGAGTAAGACTCTGTCTCAAAAAAAAAAAAACACACTAGAAGTAAGTTTATTTAGTTGGCTATGGTATTTTAGTTCAGCTTGATCTGAACTTGATTGTCAGAAATAGTTTGGGGCTCTGTTGTATAGAAACTGGGATAATGCCAGCGCATTCTCTTTCGTTCTAAAGACTTACTTGGAAACCCAGATATGTGATCTGAGTGAGTGAAGTGAGTAGAGTGCAGATATGAGACAATGGAAAGTAGTGGGGACTACAGTGAACTGAAAAGTACAAACTCCATCAAAGGGGCCAGCAGCCTATTTCGCTCTCCCCAGTTCTATCAGGCGAGAATTCTGCCAAGAGTTTCTAGGTAGGATTTTTCAAAAGAAGTTGGAAATCTGTATTTCTTTGTGAGAGTTCCTATTTTTCAGGAGTTCCTAATTTTAAAAAATATTTGACAATTTAAATACAGCATTATCCAATAGAGCTTTCCACAGTGATGGAAGTGTTCTATATCTGTGTTATCCAAAAGGGTAGCCACTTGCCAGATGTGGCCCAGAGCACTTGAAAATGTGGATAATGCAACTGAAAAAATGAATCTTTAAAATTTTATTTAAATAGAATACTTGATTGGCCGGACACAGTGGTTCACGCCTGTAATCCTAGCTCTCTGGGAGGCCGAGGGGGGCGGATTGCTCGAGGTCAGGAGTTCGAAACCAGCCTGAGCAAGACCCCGTCTCTACTATAAATAGAAAGAAATTAATTGGCCAACTAATATATATAGAAAAAATTGGCCAGGTATGGTGGAACATCCCTGTAGTCCCAGCTACTCGGGAGGCTGAGGCAGCAGCATCGCTTGAGCCCAGGAGTTTGAGGTTGCTGTGAGTAGGCTGACGCCATGGCACTCACTCTAGCCTGGGCAACAAAGCAAGACTCTGTCTCAAAAAAATAAATAAATAAATAAAAAATAAAATAGAATACTTGATTGGACAATTTTTAAAAAATACCGTATGAGCCAAGCAAAACATATCAGTATTGTGCATATTTTGCTTAGCTACAACCAGTTTTCAACCTCTAAGTCTACTAATTGGATTATTGAGAGCATTGACCATGTCATTGATGTGGTCTGCAGACCATAATAATAATGGATGATGTTTTTATAGAAAACTCCGTGGTGCTTAATGTGAGAAAACAGCACTGATTGGGAACTTTCATGTGCTACATGTGTGGCTTGATGTTGTGCTCTTTTTAATGAGAAATAACAATCTGTGGTTCTGTTAAGTTCTGAGAAGCTGTGATTTTTGGTTTAGAACCATCAACCTTTTCCAAAAAGGCATTTTGTATATTAGGAGGACTGAGTGTTTGAATCCAAAGTCTCAATGGAATGTAGGCTTTAGGAGCTGAGGTGCCCTAGTTTTTGTTTGACTGTTTCTTGGGTGGAGTTGGTGCTGGGAGCATATGGAAGGCACGTGGGCTGTCTTGTTTAAATTGACATCTGTCTCCTTCAAAATGCTCATCTAACTAACATTGGTGCTCAGGGTCCACATTTTGGGAGATGGAAGATGAGGGGGGCTGATTTAAATTATGTAAGAGGAAACATGCTTAAACATTATAAAATAGTAAAAACCTAAAAAGATAAAAGTACTATTCATCCCAGTAAATACTTTTGTATGATGTGAGATCACAGTGGAAAAGAAGCTGAGAGCTGTAGAAGATAAGATCACTCCAGCGGAGCCTGAGGGCAATTGAGGATACAAAACTGAATTTCTTTGTGGAGAGGAGCTTCCTAAGGGCTGAGTACCTTTGATGACCCTTGTTTGTATGGTAAGCTTAAAGGCTTATGATGAGTCTTTATAGGAAGAAGTGATGTTGGACAAGCTCAGCTGTTTGTTTCTCACCCCTCCCCTTTCTGAATGTAATACATTGTAGAATTCCAAATTGTGGCTTCTAACCTTTGATCTATGAATAAATTTGAAATTGGGTTGATTTATCTTTAATTAGAGAGCTATGTATTATTGTAGATATGTAGAGTAGTGAATAACAAATACAACTTACCATCTTGATTCGTTCAAATAACTATTTAGTACCTATCTGGTGCCAAGAACTATTGCAGGTGCCGGGGATACAACAGTGAATAAAACCAGTCCTTGCTTTTGTGGGGAAGGCAGAAAAACATATATGTTATGTATTTGAGGTAGCATAAACTCAAGGAAGATGGTATGAATTCGTAAGCGGGTAGAGAGCAATGGGAAAGTCTGGTGGCTGCTTTATACTGGAGTTAGGGAAGGTTTCTTAGAGGAAGTGACATCTGAGGAAAGACCTAGAAGAGGGAGAAAGAGTTCCAGGCAGACAGAACCACAGGTGCAAAAGCCTGTATGTTTGAGATGTCTTGCTTGATCTCTTCAAAGAATAGCAATATGGCCAATTTGGCTGGAATGGATTGAGGGGAAGATATTAAGAAATGAGGTAGGAGAAATAGCTAGGGCCCAGATCTTGAAAATCTTATAAGCCATGATAAACATTTTGGCTTTTTTTCCTAAATTTCTTTGGAAGTTACTGGAAGGTAAGGTAGGATGTGCTCTGAGTTACAGTTTTTTTAACATTTGGAACCATCCTGAACTTTTAGAATCATTATAAGTATTTGAATGATTTCAAAGTAGTTGCCAAAATGATGCCCTGTCACTTCTGAATATTTTAGTGTGTAATTCCTACAAACAAGGACATTTTCCTACATAACCACAATATAACCATTGATATCAGAAATTAACAATGATATACCATATAGGGGAAGCAAAATTTTACCCCTATCCTCTTAGGGCTTTTTAACTTGATCTGAGAATTAAATTGATATAAGACATCAACAAGAGAAACATGTACACATTCGTTTAATACAAATTTTAAATTTCCTCATAAGGAAATGAAGACCCAAAGACAGTTAGTGTTGAACATTTATATACTGAACTGGACAAGGAGTAGAACATTGTGAAAAGGGACTTGGGCTAGGGTAGTTAATGGGGTAGAGAAGTGACTAAAAAGGCAAGGATTGGTTTAAGAAGTTTTTACAGATTTCCCTTGACCTCAACTTCTGTCCTTAATGAAAAATGATACATTCCTTCTGATATAGAGAGGACATCTTTTATGTGGGAATTTTATTTCCTGCTTTTAAGAAAAAGAAGGAAACTCAGGAGTATTCTTGGGCCTGCTGTTTCTCAAGTGCCTTTAACTCAAAAGTCAATATGCCAGAGCAGCATATTTTCGAGCGGCATATTCTGAATTCCTTAGCCACTACTGTCTAATCTTCAGATCTCATTCAAATTTCATCAGTTGTCCTAACCTTGTCTTTTATAGCAAGAAGATCTAAACACACATTTAGTATAGATCTCAAGTCTCTTTCGTCTCCTTCACACTGGATTGGTTTTTTAGCTTTTCCTTGATTTTCATGACCTTGACATTTTTTTTTTTTTTTTTTTTGAGACAGAGTCTCGCTTGTTGCCCAGGCTATAGTGAGTGCCGTGGCGTCAGCCTAGCTCACAGCAACCTCAAACTCCTGGGCTCAAGCGATCCTTCTGCCTCAGCCTCCCGAGTAGCTGGGACTACAGGCACGCGCCACCATGCCCAGCTAATTTTATATGTATATATTAGTTGGCCGATTAATTTCTTTCTATTTTTATAGTAGAGACAGGGTCTCGCTCAGGCTGGTTTTGAACTCCTGACCTTGAGCAATCCGCCTGCCTCGGCCTCCCAGAGTGCTAGGATTACAAGCG